GAACTTGCTTCTTGGACAAACCGCAAGAAACGGTATCTTTACTTGAGTTAACCACCACAGTCCCAGAAACAGCAGGCTTTCAAAACGTAAAGGTTGTGTGAATGTATGTAAAAGCCATGGGCTCTGATCCCTCTGAAAGTTACAGGTTCAGCATTTTCAGATTATTAAATTTGTCACTCCTAAAAAGAATACAGGACACAGGATGCCTTTTTTCGTATATATATATGACACAGACGTAAGTGAATACACATTGACCCATAAGTCTGATCTTATCTGTGTTTAAACTACTTAGACTATAGGGGTTTTTTTAAGGTACGTTGACTAGAGGCTGCAGTAAATGTATACGCTATTTGGGCTAGTGTTACCTGCTGTGGCTGAAGTCTAAACGACTGTCAAACTTGGAGATAAAGTGGGAGAAATTATCAAAGCCCTGAATTTGCTGTGACTAGACTTTCTGGGATGTAAGTAAGCTTGCTCAAAACTACCTTGGCCATCTTCACCTTCTGTTGCAACATGAGTCTACCCTTAATCTTTTTGTACCATGTCAAATCCCTTGTTAGCAGGATAAAAATAATATTTAATGAATTGTGTTGGTAAAATCTGGCAAACTGTTTCCACTTTATTGGACACCAATTGTAAATGCTATAGAAAATCAGAGCAAGGTGGGAATAATTATTTTGGTACACAGTGTGGCATAGCAGGAACAGCAATTAATACAAAATAACAAATAATATGAAGATGGTGTGGCTATGACCCTGGCACTGTCAGCTGGCACTTCTTTTGGGAAGTGAAAAGGGACTGTGAGGCTTTTACTGTATGTGAGTCTTTTTCTTTGACAGTATGTGTTCCTGAAAATTGAAGCAATCATCCTGACTTCAAACTTTCAATAGAAATCTGAAGAAACAGATCTCCCTTTGGAAAGAACATAGTACTTGCAGACAACTCTGTAAAACCAAGTGTATTGTTGATAAGATGTAAATATAAATAGCAAAATCAAAGCGTGTTTTTTTGACCCTGAGTGCCTGGTACTTGAAGCTTTTTTGGACTTGCTCATTCAGCACTTACCAAGTTTAATATTGCTTGATCCTGCATCACTGTAAAACTGGAAATCACTGATCCTGGTTCTTTTGAGGTTAATGGAAATCAGAACCATAGAACAAAGCATCCTATGGCCTTACTTGCTGCTCTTAAAAGTTGAAATGAGTTTCTAATATGATTTTATAAAGCATGAAGAGTTTTAGATTACTTCAAGTATATGAATTACTGGAGAAAATATAACCACATGCATAACTGATAGAAGTTAGGTGCAAATATTAAACTTTCTGTATTTTATTTTTTAATACTGATTTATTGTATGAATAAATATAATGAACTATTGGAAGTTATTAACTTGTCATTCAGTAAAAATTAATTAACTTCATAGAAATCTAAATTTTGAAAAAAACAGAATTGGAATTATTTGGGAGAAAATTATTATCTTAAAATGTTTATGTCTTTCCTAAGGTGAATATTATTATTGCAGAAATACTGGAATTCTGACCATGAAGTAACATGAAGATGGTCACCAATGAACAGGGTCCCTCAGCTAAAAATCTGTGCAAAGGAGGGATCTAGGCTTGCACAAATTAATGTTCACCTTGAAAAGGGTTGTTTTTCCCTTTCTTCACAACAGACTCTTTTTTTTCCCTTCTCCTCCAATAGAGATGAGAATTTGTATCTTGCTCTGAAGGTGATGGGCCACTCCTGCAGCCTATAGAGAAGTAATCTACTTTTTGTTGCCTCTAGAGAAGCAGTTCTTTCTCTGCTTTGTGTGAAGAACTGCTGATAGTTCAGTTGCTTTGCTAACTGACGTACTGCTTCATATTTAGCAAAAACTACAGAGTTTGTTGAGATGTTACCAGACAAGAGGAAAGAAATGGAGGATCCATTCTGTGAGCTTTATAAGATACTGCTGAAAAATTTTTTAGAAACCTTTGTTTCTTCTAGGCAAAGCTTATTTTGTGTTACTGATGATGAGATAACGCGCTGTTAGTAAACGAAGTACAATATAATCTCTTCAAACTACATAGTGCTTCAGCAAATAGGTATGCTTTAAAAATGCTTGTTTCATCATAAAGTTTACAGCAATGCTGTGCAACTCAGATTTAGTCTGTTTGTCTTAAATTAACAGAGGCTGCATATTCAGTCTGTGAATTTAAAAAAAAAAAAATTGTTTTCTCTAAGTAGCTAATGAACTGTTTCTTCCACGGACTCTTACAATGCAGACAGTGCAAATCAGCAAGCCAAAAGAGTCCCTGTCCTGAGTTCTCATGAACATCTGAGATTCATTCAATTTGAATGCTGCTTTAACGTGGTAGCTCCATGTATGCATGTGTGTGAGAGGGTGATCCCGCTTCCACCTGCTGACTGCCAAACATAGTGGTATTTTATAGCCAGCAGGGACTTTTGCTCAGTTCAGGTACTAAAACCATCCAGTTTCCTGGTGGTGGTCCCATTTCTCTTCTCACTGATCATGTATTCCATAGTTTGTTCTAGCTGTACACATTAGACAAACTTGTTTGGAGCTTAACAGAGAAATATTTTTAAAACAACAGTTTTCTAAACAGTGAAAATCAATCTAGGGCTGCTGGAGATCTTTAAAATAGTGTGTGTGTATATAGATACTGTTTTAAGAAATTGATATGGGAAGAATAATAATTTGGTTATAGAACAACACAAGTTTGGCATCATTCATTATTTAACTTCATTTTGATCTGGAAGGTTCTTCAATGGGTTTTTCTTAATGCAAATACAGGTATATCAGATGTAGTCGATGGAAACAACTAGGATGTTTTGTCCACAGAAGAAGGGCTCTTCCTTAGAAGAAACTGAAAAATTAAAATATCCATTTTAGAACATCTGTGCATATCTACAGTTAACCATGTTTTTGTTGTGGAAATATAACTTAGTTTCTAGGATTTGTAGTCTATAGATAGGGCTGTAGAAATTTAGAAAATAATTCATTAAGTTATTTGCTACCCCTTCACATTTCACTTACTATTTCCCTTGCTGGCTTTGGCTACCCCTTTTTCATGCCAGCAATCTGCCTAGCTTCTGTTAAACACTTTTGTTTTCAGGCTTTTATACAAATTCACATCAGTCATCACACACTGACTTTCAGCTAGACTGGAACAGAAAGGGTTAGAGAAAATATGTTCAGTAAGGAAGTATATAAATCTGAAATGTGTATTACTTGGTGAAAGACCTGTCCATTACTTAGACTTCTTGGCTATTTTGCCTGCTTTTAACTCCTGCAAAGTTGAAAATCTTGGCTATTTCAGTGTTTTGTGTAAATGATGTTATATCTGAGTGTTCTATGTGAGTATTCTGTACATCTGTTAAACGCTTTCTGAAGTAATCTGCTTTTTGGTTTATGAGTTATCGGCTGTTATTCTTTGGATGTGTTGTGTTTTATATAATCCCAACTTGAAGTATTAATGGTTTTTCTATGTTTCTAAGATCTAGTCGTCACATGAAAATGAAGTTAATTTTAAAGTTAAAACTGTAAATAGCGGTTCTTGCATTGCTATTTGTAATTGCTTCACATGTATACATTTATAAGTAAAGTTTCTTGAGTTGCAGTAACAAAGACCACAGTATTTATTGAAAAACATGGGAATGAATTAATATAAAACAAAATAGTCAATATCTTCAGTATGAAACTTTTCTAAACTGTAAAAGGTTTTAGTTGCATCTAAAGAGGCCTCAGTGTGATCTTCCGTAGAAAAGTCTATGTAAATTATTTGTCAGTGGTGGTCTGCCAAAAGAAACCTAGGGGACAAGGCAAATCAGGCAGTTTAAGTTAATCAGTATTGTGTGTACATCACAAATGCAGAGAGGCTTAAAAGCCACCAGCACTACTGTGTGATGATTCTTCAAAATAACATCTTCAGGAAATAATTTTTGGAGTTTGGCTCTACAATGTGATTTGATGGTGGGATCTGGAGAATAAATTTTTTACATGTGTCTTATGAAAGCCTCCAGGAGAATGAAAAGTGTTGTATTTTGTTAAAAGTAGATTAGTTAAAAGGGTTTTATTTGGGAATGCATAAAGATATAACATCAATCACAAGTTGTGGTAGCAGGTAGAAAAATATACTTCATTACTGTTGCTTATGTCACTTTATTCAGACTGTTCTATCTGTGTAGGAATCAAATTATGGACAGTTCTTTAAAAGGTGCTGTGCTAACAGTAAAATCTAGTGACTTTATAACAATGGAGAAGAGTGTTAATTCTGAGACATATATAGGATCAGACCTATGTAGATAGGTCTTCAGATTTTCTGGAAATCTTCTGGAGGAAAGAAAGTAATTCTGTACTTTTGTTTTGCTTGGTAGATGAAGAGTTTGAGAAATGGAATTATCCATGGTATTGTTGAAAGGAAATTATTTTAAAGCATATATATAAAGTATAATATCTTTAGCATATAGGAATCGTGTACTTATGAAACAAATAAGTATACATCATATATCTTTCAACATTGATTAAAAATATCTACTCTTGGAGATGAAATTATGCTACACTATTTTCTTTGCCTAATGGCATATCTGAAACAGTAAAAATGTTGCTTTGTTTAAAAATAAAAAGAAATGTTATAAAGCTAAAGAAGGTACTTAGAAAAGGAATTGCAGTTTCTCTACAAGTTCTTATTTTGCTGAGACACTAAGGTGGATAACCGGGGTTGAAATATATTTGTCATTAATAATGCAAGTCAACTGTAGAACATGCAAGCTTTTATTAAAGTTACTGAAACATGTAGCATTTCAAATTGACATCTAGATGGTAATAATTTTCTCAGTATTTTAATCCTTCATTTTTATCCTGTAGAGTTCATTGCACTTGTGACTAAGTACAGTTCTTTCAAAACAATAACATAATCAGTAAATTATATATTGTATAGAAATATATTTAACTGCCTTTTTTCTTTTTTCTCTCTCTTTTTTTTTTTTTTTTGCTATAGGGCAGATTATACAAGAAAGGAGATTTGTAGAAGCAATAAATCGTCAAGCATATCAGTATGAAATGGGTGACTTTCCAATAGAATGGGAAGGTAAATCCTGAATATTTTGGTTTTATTTCAGGATAATTTTGCCATTGAATGTAAGTTCAATATTTTTAATGGAGAGCCTGGCTATGTGAATAGGTTGTCTGTTATCTTTAATTTTGAATAAGGTAGGCTTTTGTTTACCTGCATAATTATTATTAATTCTTAAAGTAACCCCTTTACAAATAGGATAAATTATGTTTAGAAAATCGGTACTTAATAAAAATGTAAATAAAGCGTGTGTGATCATGACTTTCTCCTATTAAATGTGAAAATATTTGTGCCTGAGGGGGATCTGATAGAATAACCAAAACTAAATGTGTTAAACTTCCTAATTATGCCTTCACTGCAGTGTTAATTTGTAGGTCAGTTGAATTATTGGTGGCACAGTGATGGGGCCTTTTTTTTTTCTTTTTGTGGTGGTATTTGGTTTCCTATACTCATTCTTGCACAGTCTTGTAGGGAGTTGGAGAACCTGTTAATAATTAATCATATTTTGTCCCACTGTTACTGGTGACAACTTTGTCTGAAAATTTGGGACATAGAAAGAAATTCAGGGAGATTAGAGAAATTCCTTAGGATTAGCTGAGCAGCCCTTGGAGAAAGAGGAAAAAGCAGAGAGGGAGTATATATGGGTTCTTGAGGCTGTAGGAGCTTGAGCCAAGTGTGGGGTTAAATGTGGCTTAAAATCCAGGATTCTGTAGCATAAGCAAACCCCTGAAATAGTAGATAGAGTCTAGTCATCATTCAGCATGCTTTTTGGGGACAATAATATCTAGGCTTCTCCCAGAAGTGGGTAGATTTAAAGCAAACAAACTTAAATTTTAAGCAGTATGTAGTTAAACTGTGGAATTCCTTGTCATTTAATATTCTGTTTGCTGGAAGCTTGCATGAGTTCAAAAAGTGATTACAAGAATTTGTGGTAGAAAAATCCTTCTTGTACATGGCCATTGCTGTGGTTTAATTTGTCAGTGAGCTGCAAATTAATGGAGGCTACATTGTGTTTTGAGGAAATATCGCAGTATACTTGCTTTACTTAATTGTCTTTCCTTTGTGCTCACTGTTGGCCCCTGAAGGAGATGATACTGAGCTAAGAGAAAACTTTGATCCAATTATATCCCTTCATGGAGTCAGAGAAATATCAAAAGTTCCCATCTTGCAGTTTATCATTGTCATTACACTGATTCCTATGCAGTTTTTCTGTGATCAACTAAGGCTAGTATTAACAGCTAAAAGCTTCTCAAAGGTGTTTCAACTCTATTAGCAGCACTTGCCAACTGTGGTGAAACCACAGCATCAACAGCTTCTGTCTTCTATTGCCGCAGTACCCACAGTTGGCTGGCAAGTCTTAATCTAGTTGCTCCTGGTGCTTTATCAGTCCGAGATAGCCATCTTCTGAAGGAAAGCAGCAGCCTGGTAGGCTTGTCCTTAATAAATCATCTGGTGCTTGAATGGGTATCTACTTAATCCAACTTTCTGAAGGTCTGCTTCCTCATCCAAAAGTTCTGCAGCCAGTGCTGGTTATCTTAGGTCTGTGTGACTGTCGTGCAGTCACTCTGCAGCAGAAACACTGAGAAGCGCATATAAAGCCTCAGGTAACTCTGCCCTGCTGTGAACGAATTCTTACCTAAGACCTGCTGCTGCCTCTTAAGGGTTGAAAAACGCAATCTGATAGCCTCTACCTGCACTTGGCTGGAATTAAGAAGAAACAACATGCACAGTCAGACTGTCCTAGGTGCCTGTGGGCTAATCACCCTTTCACAATCTAATCACAAAGGGTCTTAGACTGGTTCAACCAACTTGCTATATGAACCTAACCTTAGGGACTGCTGGAATTGGTGTAGCACTAATAAGCCTGCACTATATCTGTCTTCAGAAACCTTAGCACAAATCCATGTGGCTTGACAGTGTGGTGCATGGGAGAGTACAGCTGTTCGGAAGGATGCTTTTGGCAAGCACCAGTACAGACACCTTGGAGTGAAGGGTCAGGTACCCTGCAGTATGGACTTGCCTAAAAAGATGCAGCTGCCAGACCTGAGATGCACTTTTGCAACTCAAGGCATCTTATTCGGGTTTGTTTTAAAGAAGAGAAGACAATTGGCCAGTCCCATTTTTATGACCTGCATTTACTCTTTTAAGACCTAACTTGTCTTCATAACTGCGTTTTTTTCTTCGTGATTTTGTCAGCACCAAATAGAAAGAATTCACAGAGAAGAGGAAAATGCACAGTATGCAGATAGGTAACAGTCTTTTCCTCTTAAGTACTGAATTTCTCTAGAAACAGAAGGAAGAGATACATGCCTCTTTTTTCCCCGCTGTGCTTTCCTTAAGCAGAATGGTATGTAGTGCATGTTTCCGAAAGATAAATATGGGAATTCCACTAAAAAGGCTAACTTGTATTTTTTTTCCAATGCCAATTTAAACATTACAAACAGTTTTGTGGAAGTATAACATAATTTTAAATACTTCTGCTGTTGGTATGGAGACTGTTCAAAGAACTATTCTGCCTTTGCTATATATTGGGGTGTGAATTAGGGATGTGGGATGATCTGAAGTTCAGTTCATCGCTACTTTTCTGCCACCTGTAAAATGAAAACTTCTCAATGAGTAAGACATAGGAAAGAATGAAAAGAGTAGAGGGTTCAAGTAACACTACAGAAGCCAGTTACCTGAGTGGGAACAGTTTAATACAAGGTTTTAGACATGCTTTGCTGAAAAGCTCATTTTGTCCCTATTTTTTCCTCTTTAAGATTGGTCTAGAAGTTTCCCAGGCCCACAAGACCGGTGCTGAACTTTCACTCTGTATCTTCTGTCCAGACTCCAGTGTGTTCTTTCTATGGGTGTTCACTTTATAATTCCTGCTGTCATGAATGCTGATCATTCCAGCAAATAGTCTGAGACTTTGCAGAAGGATTTCTAAAATACTTGCTGTTTTCTCTCAACAGTAAAAGATGAATATAAGGTTAGAAAGCTGTACAATATTTCTTACTTCTGTTTTCACTTTACTTTTGGAAATTCTGTGGAATTTTAGTGTTCTAAATCCTCTCTGCTGGGCACATGCTTATGTCTCCAGGGGCCTTCTCTCCAAATCCTGTGTATGCACTTTGACATCTGCAGCCTCTCTCCTTCAGTTTTGGGTGGTTCAGCAATAGCAGTCTTCTTGCCTAGCCTTCTCAGGCTTTTCACTTTAAGGACTATGCTAAAGTTTCTGTTGCCTTATTTCCTCTCCTTTTTCTTGGGATCTTCAGAGGGCTGCTTTCATCTGTGCTGTCTTGGTTCTACCAGGACTTAGTTTTTTTTCACTTGTGGATAATCCTTAATGGCCACCTGATTTAAAAGCAGTCATCTCAGCACCCTTTCCCTCTCCTTGTTTCCCTACATCACACTGTGCGACTAGAAAAGAAACCTCTTGTGACTGAAATGAATAAAAGTACTGTCCCTGGAAATGCTTAAGGGCATGAGTTGTCTGAGGAGAACTTGCACAAAACCAGGGACAAGGGATCGTTTAAGGAGTGGGAGCAGGCCGTAGTGAAATTTGAAGAGGGTCTGACTTTTTTCTGGGTCTGAGTTATATCTCATTCTGTATCTAAGACATTCAGCCTGGGCAGCTGGTAAACTAAGGGGCCAGTTTTGGTCCTGTGTTGATGAAGTTATAAACATGTAATAAGGTAACCGAGACCAAGTAGAAAGCTATAAAGCAAGTAGATAAACCAATCATCCAGATTACAGACTCATTTTGTGCAAGTTGTTTCTCAGACTCCAGAGAGGATGTTTATGTATTAGTCCTGAGAGTTTACTGAATACAGGGCTGATGGTTTACTCCTGAATGGTTTGCCTGGATTTTTTCTCCTGAAGATGTGAGTTTTAGGTGCTCCACAGGATTAAATTTCCTAAGTTCTCAGACCTGTGACTTTTTTATAAAAGTTCTGAATGTCCATTAAGGCTTTTGTAAAACTGCAGCATGCTCAGTATTAAAAGAATAGAATCATAATCCCTTGCGTTATCCTTAGCCTTAGCTAGTTGTGCACAGAAAATTGATTTTCATTTTAAAAATCCAAAAGTATGTTTCCTTTTGTACTGTAGTTTTGAATTTAGAACATAATCCGTACACACAATACAAATATTACCTGGTTTTGTTTAGGTGAAGCCTCTTATATTTTACTACAAAGTGGGAGTGCATACTTTGCCTTTCCCTGGGCAATATGGATGCACACAACAGATAACCTTTCCCTAATGTTAATTCTGAATGTTCACCTACTGTAGAATGTGTAATTTACCTCCTCCGGACATGTCAATAGTGCTCCTGAGAGGAGATCAGTAATTTTACATACCTATAGAGATTCATGAGATTGCATGCTTCATGCAGCATTTTATTGCCCATCTATTCCTAGTATTATTTTTTTTTACTGGTAACATTTAATGATTAATGGGAGTCTTAATTTGCACGCTCACTTTTACACTCATTACAGTGTCTTATGTGCCAGTAGGAGTCTTAAAGTTCAATGAAAATCTCATGCATACTAATAAGAATGCAAATGATGATGATGAAAGAATGCGAGGGTCTCAAGGTAGGAAATGTCCAGCTATCTTGCAAAATTCCTTTTAGACAGAAGCAGCATTACAATGAGTACAGAATGCAGGAAGTGCCATCCAGATAAAATTAGAAGCAGCAGCATAATTAGTTTGAAATGGAGGCAATGATTCATTTTGCTAAAGCGTTGGGGGGCAGGGAAGCATGTTCTGCTTGCACTCAGTACACACATGTTACCTTCTTGACTTTACCAGGCTTAAAACATCTTGGCTGACAATGGTGAGGGCATTTAGTTTTCTTAGCATAGGGAATGGGAGTGTTCATGTGAAAATCTTTTCCACGTATAACTGTCACTGGACACTTTTTAACTAAGTATATGCATATGTGCATATGATGTTCAAATAATATGTAATAAAGCACCTACCTGCCTTGTTTTCATCAACAAATATTTAACTGTGGTATAAATCTGTTCAGTAATTTAAATCTGCATTGGCTAAAGGTGTAATGGAGAGCGCAAAGAAAGGTGGGAGAGCTTTTCCATTGTTAAATTGTATACATTGACTAATATTTTTCAAAGAGAATGCAAAAATGTCTTAATTTCAAGGTATCATTTACTTGGATTTTGTTAAAATTAGTGCTAACTCAGTAGTAAATCACTGGTTATATTTTTGTACACTTTCATTCTTTAATTGTTACTATTAATTTCTCTTATGCCTGAGTTATGAGGTATTGGTGGTTTTTTGAACCTTGTGTTGGATGCTCAAATTATTGTTGATAACTTAAAATTGAAAGGCTTTTTAATTTTTCTGTCTGAAAGAGAACCACCTGAAAACTGGTGGGGATTAAATATATTAGAGCCCTCCCATTCTTCTCCCCAAAGACTGAGGAGTGATCAGGTGAATTATTAGAAAAAATGTATTGCTTTTGAAAGACTGATAAAACTATTAGATACTAAAGTACAATATACTAAAATATACTCAATTCAAATGATGTTTTCTTAGCTTTTAATCTTTTAATGTATCTTGAGCTGTGCTTTACATGCAATATTTCAGAAATGGATTTGCACAGAGGGAATATTCTATATTAAAGCTAACTAATGTCATCTTATGGCTATAAAGAGATTTTAGTAAATTTTCTTACTGTATTTCTCGCTCAGCTACATAGCAGTGAAGGAATCTTTCATTAAATAATGATTTTCTAATACAGCTCATTAGAGATGTTAAAATGAATTTACCTGTAGTAATTTGGAAAATTGTATCCAATCTTTGTGTCAGCAAGTTTTATGTAGGGTTAAACTGAAAACAGTTTCTAGTCCTGACATTTATTAGAAAGATGGAAGGCTGATGTCTCCTATAAAACCATGCATTCACATGCTTGTTATAGCTGGAAAGAAAAATAGCACAGTGTTATAACTGTGTGCATTATTTATGTATTTAAATAGATACAGTCTGATAATGGAATGTTTGATACGAGAAATATTCCTAAAGTAAGGATTGTTTTGCTGCTTTTGAGTGTTGGTACTAATTGAGATCTATTAATGAATGAAAATGTGTTGTGTAATGCTCCTTGCTTCACAGCTTCTGTTCATAGGACACGTGTCATTGTGTTACCCTTCACTGTTCTGTCTGTGGCTTGTTAAACTGAAGCAGATAATTAAATGATAAAATCCTTTAATAGAAGTATGCCATTCATCTGAAAATCGTTAACCAAATAACTGCCTAAAAGTCCCATCTACTATTGAAAGAAAATCTATTGTAAAGGTTATATTTCAGCAGTAGTTTCTAACTGCAACTTAATTTTTTTAGAATTTCAAATTCTAAGAATTTTTCTTTAAGAATCACTATTGTAATCAGTTGAAGTTAAAAGGGAGCTTGTATTTTAAGAAAATACTGGCAATTTCAAAAAAAGAAGCAATTTTTAGATGCTGAGAGCTGTGGAATTGAAACCAGTGGTACTGTACTTCCATCTGACAGAAGCAAGGCACGGCAAGGCAGAAGATGATACTTTCTTTGTTGAAAGTAATCCCTTAAATTTTGAAGATTTAAAACTTAATTTTTTATGAAACATTTTAAACTACTACTTTTCCTTTTTTCTCCAGCTGTATCTTTTATTGGTCACTGTCTGTATCTCTACCACTTTGTTGCTTTTCTAGATGTGGTTGGAACTGTTGCTAAGTACAGACAAAGATGACTTCTGTCAGGAGGAAAGGCTTATGTGCTATGATTTTCTCTAATGGCATCATTGGTCCTTTTACAAAGAGTGTCTGCAAGGCTGCCAGCTGGGAAGTGCCAGTCTCAGTCATGCCAGTTTAGTCTCTGATCTTGCCAGATTTTTGCATTTGGAAATCCACATAAAATTTAAATGTTTGAAAGTGCTACAGGTGCACGCAAAATGTTTTCTAGTTCTGTAGATTTAACAGGAGGTAATTTAGTTGTATTTTGGATTATCTTAATAGGCTGTTTTTCTTTCCACTAACATAAAAACTTTTGCAGAAAAAGTGATGTTGACAGTTCAGTGCTCAGTCGCTTCTCCACGATGGCAAATTTGGGTCTAATCTTTGTTAGAACCAAAAGACATCTGAGAAGAGTTGGCAGGGACTGCTTTTAAGGAAAAGTGTTTGAGAATGCTGTTTAAAAGAACACATCTTCTGAAGGCGTCATCTGATAGACAAGACCCAAAAGTAATACCTTGTTCCATATCATTACAGGTATTTTACCTTTACCCGTGAGTTAAGGCTGCCGGCCTTGCCATCATGGCTAAATTCCAAGCTATGTAATGCCATTTTGTTTCCATTAATTCCATTCTTATGTTAATTGGAAGCTATTCCTCCTAAAACCAGTTTCATAATGTTGCTGCAGCAGAGTTGTGTTAGTGTTTCATCCTATGTGTAATTGCATTTTCGGTAGGGAGATGACACTATGACTCTGTGCAGCTTTTAGTGTTCTGGACTTGCTGTCTGACTCATCCCTAGTTCCCCTCAAAGTATAGCACAGATGGTATTAGAGAATTAAAATTTGGAATAGTTCCTTCTTAAAGCATTTCTGAAACTTTATAGACAGCTACAGGTCAGACCAGGAATTTGGGTGATAATGAAAATGTCATTTTTGCTCTAATTTTCAAGCACAGTAACAAAAGTCTTAATTACCCAAACAAACATACAAGAGAACGTTTTGCCATGTCTCAGCACTTGGAACTGGCTTTCCTTATGTTTGTCCTTCTGTTCATTACTGGCCACTTGCATTCTGCTACTCATTCATTTGAAAAATATGAGCAGAAAAGACAAATGTCTACAAAATACACAACCCAATATCTACCAGTTGTGTGGGTTGAAAAGGCATGAAAAGAATGCTACGGTAGTGATGCTTCTAAAGAGTGATGGATATTGCCCTGTCCACGGTCAGGTAATTTGTTTGTCTAAATAATGCCTGTAATAGTAGGAGCTTTCTCTAATAATTCACCGACTGAGTGAAGCAAGACCTGACAGAGTGCTGCTTCTCTGTCTGCAGCGGGGTCCCTTTGGATTGCTACCTCCAGTCAGTCCACGTTTGCAGTGGGAGTGGGCATAAGTCTATTGATTTTGGTTCATCACGGAAAACCTGAGCCACAGGACAAGTGTCATTGCCACTGCTTTCGTTCCTCGGCCATCTTTGCCCGCACGAATTGACTGAGATGGAGGGAGCCTTCCCTGAGTTACGGCACCCACCCCGGCCCGGTGCAGTGGGTAGTCCCACAAAGCCGAAGGACGTGGGGCAGTCAGGGCTCTGCAGCCCCTCAGTCAGGTTTGGGGCGGTACCCTGCATCCCTGTAAAGGAATTCTAGCTGGCATTAACATAAATAGGTTTTCAGCTTTAACAACACCTGAGGCATATACATGAATCCTTTTTCTCCAGAGTGGTCTAAGGCTTTTCATACTTTCCAGCAGTCATCTTGTCATTTTCTCAGGGTGAAGCTCAGCTCTGTATAGCAAGCTCAACAACAGCCCTGAGCCATAAGCCCTGCTTTTTAAGCCCTGTTTTGGCAGTCAGGGTGGTATGTAAACTGTGCCCAAGCTCTCCTCACAGAGGTGATTTTTTTTTTCCTCCCTTTCTTCCCCTCCCCTTCCTTCCGTGAAGACTGAGAATATTGGCATGGGAAATAACATCTTAGGTCTTCGTATTTTGGGAAATGATAATGGCTGACCCAGTTTTGGCAAATTCTATTATAATTTTTTATAAAAACATTTGCTTTCTGTTACAAATTCATCATAATTGTTAGTTTTAATACTGTCTGTGATCTTTGAAATAATCCATTTGATTTTTATTTCTTTTGCAGCATGGATAAGAAAAAAAAGAAATGATCCACCCACCATTGAGGTGAGAGAGAGGAAGTGTCTTTGAATTTTCAATTGTTGTAATTAAGCTACAATAATTAATTTATAGTGGACTTATCTGTCCAGTAATTTTTCACTTCTGGGGGTGAATTTAGTATGTTGCTCACCTAATTGATGAAATTACACACAGACTAGATATCTAACACTTAGGAAAAGAAAAACAAATGGAAATAGAAACTCCAGTGTTCTTTAGTTGTTACTTTATCTACATGAATTCTTTAAGATGATCATGGCCATTCAGGAGTTCCTTTAATTAAACAAATTCTGAAATTACTGCTATGAGTTTTTAAAATAGGTCCTCTATGTATTAATGCGAAGTTTTTTTCATGGTAGTTGACATTAAAATGCAGGTTTCAAATCCAGTTGCCAGTGGATTCATCAGTACAGGAGAACAAATTGCACTAACATTTTACAGTGCTAATGAGATGGGGGAGTTGCAGCCATGACTTTTTCTGTAAGTGGTTTCTAATGGAATGAAACAGGGAAATATGCCACAGTCTTTCATGCTGATGAGTTTGTAAAGAGTGGAACGAGTTTGACTCTTGATCTGTGTATACAGACCACGCTCATACACTGTTTGGCCTGGATTTGTATTACAAGTTGCCAAGCACCAGCTAGGAATGAGTGAGTAGATGAGGCATGGTTTACTACAGAAGATGCAAACTGACAGCACCCACAGGAGCAGATACTTGACTTGCATCAAATAAATGTCAAATTTAGTGAAGCCATGTTGACATGCTCTAGCCAAAGATTTGGTCATTGAGATCTTCTGGAATATACTGGCTTGTGAAAAGTTGTCCTGCCTGTGTGTTAAGATGACTTGGGGAAGCTTGTCAGCTGATGCTTTCAAGCCATAACTCATTGAAATGAGCTCCCATGCACCTTACAGCTTTTCAACTAATTCTCTCTGCCTCTGTTTCGCACTTGCCACTGAGGTTGTAGACATAATAAGTGGTATAATACACCCATAAATAGAAGAAGTTTAAGTTAAATTTATCCTCAGAGCTTTTTAGGACTTAAAGCAAATTAACACACTTTTCTTTGCATTAACATTTGGCTAAGTGATTTTTTTAATTTTTTTAAAATTTTTACTTGTGCAGAAGTGATACTACAGCAGTTGTTCTGTCTAAGCATGGACTGATCTCCTTTTAAGTAGCTCTGACTAATACTAACTGTATGCATACAACTTTTACTGTTGAAATTACCACCTCGTGATACTTGAAGATGGGGGGTGTTGCATGTCTTTTGTCCAATTATTTCCATAAGCTGTACTGCCATGATAACTGTGCTAAGGTAAGCCTGCTCCAGAGAACATGGGCAGCTTTGGGTTTGGAATTGGTGCAATAAAGCTCATCCTGGCACTGGAGGTGTTGGTTCTGTTTCAAAATAGGAAGCAAGGAGTCACCACAGGTGAGACAACTGTGGATCAATAGTGTTCTAAATATTTTACCTTCCAGAAAAAGCGATTTATGGAGAAAGAAAGATTATTGGGAGTAATGGTGCATTCTGAGTTACAGGACTGCTTATACCTTCAGTTTCATGAGGTAATAGATCTGAAAAATAATTTAGCAGCTAGGTACTTTGCCTGCAGGGCTGTCCATTAACCTTATCAGAGCAGAAGTGATATACCAGGAATTTGAAAAGTAGTTATCATTTCTTTCAAGTAATCTCTAAACTGTTTTTTTCCTGTATAAGAAAAGGTAGTTCAAATGTATGTGTGTTAAAAATTCTTGCTAATATTTTGAAAATAATGCTGCATTCACATTTTAAATGATAGTGCAGCTTTTTTTTTTTTTTCTCCTGTATTAGTGTAGGGTGATATGTGTGATCTACTTTTCTCCTGATTTGAGACTGTTACACCACAAACCCTTATACCGCAATATCATTATAAACATAATTTTACTAGTGAAGTACATACAGAATACTGTTTTGTCCCTATTTGTAGGACTGATTGGCTTTAGTGTTTTAGCTACATAAACTTTACTGGCTGCTTTTCTGTATTGTATTCCCTTTTTGACAGTAATGCTGATATGGTAAACTGCTGTTTGACAGCTATGGAACAAGGGAATATTCGTGACCATATTTCATATTGAAACCCTGTACAACAAATCTCCTTGTTCTTTCACATATTTCTCATGAGACTAGACTACTTCTGAAAAAGGATGCAAAGCCCACAATTTTGCATTTTTGCTTTAATGACATTTTACTGTAAACATCATATTGTAACATCACAAAACAGCATTACAGGTCCTAGAGCATAAGTTTCTGGAGTTGTGCCTAGGTTCCTACCTTTGTGGTCTGTAATACCACTTTTTTTTGGATGGTTTTCATTTTTTTCCTGTCCTTTGCCTATCATCTTTTTTTTTTAATTTTTTTTCTTCCTAATATCAAATGTCATATGTTAAACTTTATTAAAATTTCTGTTCCCCTTCTCTGCTCTATTTGTCTACCATCTCCCTTTAATATTTTATGTTTGGTTTCTTTATATTTGTCAAACTTGTCTTTTATTCATCTCTCAGGTATGGATGATAGAGGTTGCCAAACTGCTCAGGCTATCAGGTCTTATGATGAGCTCTGTGACCAAACTTTAATGGAAAATATTGCAGAGATATGGCTTCACAAATCAGCTGGATCTTACTGATAGCACTGATAACCACATTTTGGGAACCAATGGTTTGGTGAATACTGTAGGCCAACAAAATGTCATTCATAATCATCATGATATGTCAGTCACTTAAGTGAGAATGAATGTGCATTGTCCTTCCTTACATTGGTCAAGGTAGCTGGATCGTGACACCAGCTAAGTCTGTTGACCATGTGCTTAAGACTTGATAACATTTTGGATTCAGGCCATTCTTTCCTCCACAAACACCTAACTGATCTTTTTTTGTTTCCATTAAAAAGCTTTCATTTTGTCACAGAATAAATTGCTTTACATCTCTTTTTCTTTAGATTTGATTTTTTTTTTAATGGAAGAATACTCCAGTGACTTCACAAGGCAACTTGTTCAGCGTTAAGTGTTTCACATACCTAATGGTTTCTTTCCTCCCTGCACCCCCACCACTTTTTCCCCATTTTTGGAGGGAGTCACTTAGAATTCTGTGTACTGGGCTAGTCGTAACCCAAGAATGCTGCTCATCTCCTTGGTCATTTCTAATCTGACCAGTAACATAAGGCATGTTAGTGGTTGGAAGCCCTGGGTTTTAAAAGCCAGCTTCTGGGATACTGTGAACAGTTGGTTGCCTTTTGATTTATTACAGCTTGAAATATGCCAAGTCTCAACTTATTTATGATGAGGGTGATAACTTCACAAATGAATGCAGATCAAGTTGTTTCTTATCTTGTGCTTAAACATATTCTGTTCCTATGGTAATTAGGGGCTCCATCTTCATAGAGAATTTTGGATCACATCTTCACCCATTGTAAGCATGTATGTGTGTATACACATGCATACAAACATACTGCTTTATAACAGGTGAGAACCTGAGCTTGTATATGTGTATTTTTGCATTATTATAGCATTCTATCATCTGTCCCTTTATATATATTGTATATGGTCATATATGGTAGGCTGAGGAAAATTTGTCATTACCTTTATTCCTGTGCAGCTGTAAATTATATTTTAACCAGTTTAACAAGTGATAATTATTAAAGTAGACTATTATATTTCTTTATTATGTATATAGGAAACTAGATGTATATACCATGTTTTTGGGCAAATAGGAAATGTGTCCTCGTCTAGAGATCTTACAGTTTTAAATGAATGTTTTAAAGGCTACAGATATTAAAATATTTTTAATCAAATGCTGTTTTGTGGGAGCAGATTTAATAGCCTATCACTTTATGTGCAAATTAGCTTACCTGCTAAGCATTAATGTTGTCAGAATTTATTAACAAAAGTTATCTTGGGATATAGCAGTTGTATTACAGGAGTGATGTTTCATCCATGCAGATTATTTCTTTAGGAGACTATTCCCTTCCATTCTTTAAGCCATAGTCCACTTTCAGTATGGTTCATCAACTAGATTGTAAGGTAAATGTAAATGTGGTGTCTTGCATACACTCCTACCTCCCCGTTTTCCTCCTGGCTACAGATTTCACTCCTAATTTGAAGCATGGCATCTTTATGTTTTGGATTTTTCGCATCTTGGTTGCAGAGGAAAGAAAAAATGCTCTTGGGAGGCAGGGGGAAAATCCTTCTCTTCAGGACTCCATTTTTTGGGCTTGTGTTGCTATTCCATCACCAAAGCGGAACTCCCCAAATTTAAAAGATATTAAACGATGTAACACCTGTAGGACCACTGGGTATGTCTCGCTCTTTTTATGCACCTTCAAGAATTTCAATCAAAGTTCTGCTGATAAGAACTTCTTGAGACTTCTCAGGACTTTGTTGATAGGCAACTTTGCATGGCATGCACAAGCTTTGCTGTGTTTTACATCTCCTGTTTTCATTCTGGGTCACACTCCCTGTAAAAAAAAAAAAAAAAGCCTTTTTTAAAACTTGAGATAGCATTATGTAAACGTATTAAAAATACTAATGAAAGAAATCATTATTTTCTGTTGGTGCAGCTCCTAATTGAGATAGTGGCTGGATGCATAAGATACTTGCAAGCTTTGGTTATGGTGCCTGTTTCAATACAGTATCTGCCTTTCTGTCTGTCTCTCATCTTTATACGATCAGTGCATATGTAACACACAGCCAGGTTTTCCCCCACATAGATAGTGGGAGTCATATAAAAATTGGTTTAGATATCTTGCATCTGGGACACATTGAGTCTTCAGCTTCTAAACCAGGAAGGAACCAAGAGGCATATTTTTAAGGATGTAGCAAACCTTAAAAATATCAGGCATATAGTGAGTTTTTAAGCCTTTCTGTGTTTAACTTCTATTTGATTTCTTTAGCACTTCTGATTTCAGAGGGCATCAGATATGTAGGGGCTTTTAAAGAATCCTACTGTCTGTAACATGAGGTACCTGAATGTA